GACCAAAGCAAAAAACTAAGCACTAGCATGAAAAGGAAAGTAATGAAGACGAACAATGCGAAGAAAATGATTACGAACTATGAAAACGAAACAAAACAAGACAGTAATACAAAGGTAAAGCCGAAGAATGACAAGATACATTTAGCTACATGGAATGTCAGAGGAACCTTTTATGAAGGTGCGCTAAAAGAACTGATGAATGAGGCAAGGAAGTATAAAATCGATTTAATGGCTCTTCACGGGATAAAACAAATAGGATCGGAAATAACTGATATAGAAGATATGGTGCTCTTCAAAAGTGGAGGTAAAGATAGAATGCTTGGAACGGGTTTTTTAGTAGCTGAATGTATCAAGGACAAAGTGATAGCTTTTAATCCTATCTCTGATAGGATGTGTTCAATATGAATTAAAAGTAAGAAAAAGAATTGGAGTATAATCAATATTCATGGACCGTCAGAAGACAAGGACGACGAAATAAAAGATCTTTACTATGAACAGCTAAATGATGAATACGTGAGCCTACCTAAACGTGATGTAAAAATAATAATGAGTGATTCTAATGCTAAAGTGGGAAAAGAACCTCTGTACACTGTAGTAACTGGTAACTACAGTAAACACGAAGTAACAAACGGTAATGGTCAAAGACTTATTGGATTTGCCATGGAGAAAAACATGGTGGTGAGAAGCACGCAACTAAAACGAAACGAGATATACAAAAGTACGTGGGTCTACCCAGATGGAAGGACGGTGAATCAAATAGATTAGGTTATGATTGAAAGTAAATATATGAATATAGTTCAGAAGGTAAGAAGTATGAGAGCAGCTATGTGGAAGGAGGCTGGAAGAAAAAGAGAAATCGAACAATAAAACGAAGAGAAAGTACAATATTGAAAAACTTAAGGAAGTAGAAATAAAAAATAAATATGAAGAAGAAATAAATAAAATTCTACAACAATGTGACCAAAATTTACAGACAGATCAGGCCTGGGAACAAATTAAATCTGGCGTAGGAGAAGCTAGCGAGAAAGTAGTTAAGTGCGACTCCAAGAGAAGTACAATTGGTTTGACGAAAAGTGTCAAGCGGTAGCAAAGGAAACGAAGAAGATCAGACAACAAATATTAACAGAAAATAGTGAGTGTAAAAAACAAGAATATAGAATAATTCGAGGAAGATTAAAATCACTGTGTAGAAGGAAAAAGAGATTCCACAATGAGTTGAAATTAAAAGAGATAGAAGAGAAGTTTAAAAACAAAAGAGGTGCGGTCGTTTTATCAAGAAGTTAAAAAGATGGGAAAAGGTTACCAAAGCCACTGTAGTTATATGAAAGGTAAAGATGGAAATGTAATTAGCGATCCGGCTGGAATAATGACGGAATGGAAAAAAACATTTTGAAGAATTATTAAATGGTGAGGTGGACCACGAAGCAGTAGACAACTGGACGGTTGAAGAAGATGCGACAGTTGAAAGGCAGCCTACAGAGGAGGAGGTGGTGACAGCAATACAAGAAATGAAAAATAACATATGACATATGCATAGAAATGATCAAGTTTGGTGGAGAACAACTACAAAGAAAAATATATCAGCTACTAGTGCAAGTATGGGAAAAGGAAATGATGCCAACGGAGTGATATGAGGCCCGCATATGTCCTCTGCATAAAAAAGGAGACAAACTCAAGTGTGACAACTATAGAGATATAGCCTTACTAGATACGGTATACAAAATCTTGGCCAGAATATTGAGAAATAAACTAAATTGCTACACGGAAAGAATCCAGCATGAATATCAGGCCAGCTTTAAAAAAGACAGATTTGCTGTATACCAAATTTTCTCATTAAAGGAGATACAAACGACTTGTTATGAAGGTAAAGTTCCCCTGCATATTTTGTTTGTGGATTTTAGACAAGCATATGATAGAGTCGATATAATCAAAATGTATCGAGCAATGGAACATTTGGGTATACCAAATAAACTGATCCGGCTAGTTAAAATGACACTAAATAACTCTACGTGTGAAATTGCTTGGCCGAGTTACATATCAGATTAATTTACGGTTGCAAAAGGCTTGAGACAGGGAGAGGATTGAGATCCTTTATCCACTACATTATTCAACTTAACGGCAAAAACCGAGAAAGAATTAAGGAGAGTTGTGAAGAAAATCATCGAAGAAGCACAGAAATTCGGATTCTAACTAAATGAAGACAAAACCAAATATATGATCATGGGAGGGACAGAAGAGAAAAAAGAAGACTTTAGTGTGAGGTCTGTAAGTGGTAAAAGCTATAGTTTTAAAAGGGTGAACAAATTTGAATACCTGGGTACAGTTTTTGATGAAAACGGAAAGCTTGAAGCCAGAATAGCAAAAGGGAATAAAAAATTAGGTAGTTTAAGAGCCCTACTGAACTCAAAATACGTTTCTAGACAAGGTAAACTCAGAACATATAAAACAGTAATTCGACCTACAGTAACATATGCCGGTGAGACATGGACATTAAATAAGAAGGAAGAGGATACTCTAGAAAGATGGGAAAAGAAAATATTGAGACGCATATTCGGAGGACGGAAGACAGAAGATGGTTGGGAGAGAAGAACCAACAATTAATTAATGGCTTTATACAAAGAACCTACAGATGGTAGAAGGCACAAAGAATCAGATGGTTGGGACATGTGGAAATAATGGCAGCAAACAGAATGCCTAAACTAGTAACAACCAGAAAATTAATCGGCCCCAAATGAAGAGGTGGACACAGAACGAGGTGGATTAGTAATTAGTAGTAGAGCGAAATGAAAAAAAAAAACGTATCATGGTCATTAGTCTAGAAACTGTTGTTTCTACCCACGCACAAAAATTTCCCGTCTCGACTCCGTCGATTTATAAATTGAAATAATATTTAAGGTCGATCCAAACACATCGTCACGTCTCGTCACAGTCCCGGCGCCGAACCGAACAATCCGTCATACAAAATATTCTTTAATAGAAATATGCCGCCGCCATTCACATTCATCAGTTGACGAACAGTTTCCCAGCTGTCAGATAATTAATAGTTCAGTGACCAAACAGGACCGGTTAGGCGCCGGGACTGTGACGGGACTGATGTGTTTGAGTCGACCTTAAAGCTGGATTTATAGTTGGACGGATTGGAATTGGAATGGAATTTTTGCACATTGGTAGAAACAGAGGCTAGACTAATGACCATGATACTATATTATCCTTTTATTATTCTTTTATAAATTTTTAACGTCCATTGTAACAAATAATCAACAAAATCAAAATTCGAATATGTTGATAAGCAGCTTTACAAAATGGTGAGCGGGCCAGACAGTTCACTTTGGTGGACAGCACAAAATTCCTTTCTTTTGATTGGCCAGACGCAAGTACGCACTGTAAAAGATTCGTTTCGCTTACGTCCCGTCATGCGTTTACGTTCATTTAAAAATAAGAGTACACAAAATTCTATGTTCATCTTTTTCCAGTGGGTCTGCGTTTACAGTCCGTCAAACTATAAATCCAGCTTCTAATACTATCAACAAAAATAGTTTAGTTAATATTTCTTTTGGCCAGTCGCGGCCGCTAATACTTGTAAGGCGAGCGCGACGGGGCAGAAGAAGAAATGCTAAGGAGGGTGAGCGGAACTGGGCCCAGACTTTGCACACTTGGACCCATTTCCGACCATACTTATTATCTTATTATCTTACTTCATTCACTATTCTTATGTTGATTGTCCTTTGATGACTTTGGTCTTGACGTTTCACTTTGCTTACCATGTCCGACAACGCGGGGTGGCGCGTTTCCGTGTATCAGTGTCATAAAACGACCCTACCGCTCAGAGGAGTAAACCTCGATAAAAATTCGCAACCACACGGTGTCAGGCGATCCGTGCCCAAGTGGTAAATGGCCTAGCGTAAGATGACCACAAACGAAGCCTTCGGAGAAGTGTCTAACCTCCACTGTATTTTAAGCCTTAGCGTGAATAAGGGCGCACTGCCTCGCCAGACAATACAATTTCGTCCTTATTCGTGGGAATTATATGGATAAGTACTTACTCAAGTAACAAAAAACCCAAACAAAACAAAGAAACTATGGAACAAATTAGAACAAGCTATGAATGCGATGATATGGTGTACAATAGCAGTGAAGGGAACATAGGAAAAGTCTTCAGTAAAGAAGAAAAGAGGAAGGAAAAGATGATGTTCGGAAAAAGAGGATTTGTTGGAAGGTCTCCAGTCAGGAGTCGGGACCTTACCAAAAAGGATCTTCCAAGGGAGGCAACCTTACAAAGGAGCTTCTCACTTGAAGAGAAAAGACCTGCAGAGAAGGTGGAGAGCTTTGACATAACGCCTATGGTAAGAGAAATGGAGAAACTTACGTTACTTGTAACTTGCGTTACAAATAATTTATTGAAACTAATGTCTGACTTGAAGGTTGAAGGTTGTGATTAAAAATGAAATAAAAAAACTTAAGAGAGTCACCGAAGACATGGAGGGCACTTTCAGACAAGTCGCGCTCGGTAGCGTTGAGAAAGGAAAAATACTAGTAAAAAAATACCGGTGATGAGGTCACGATGAATGATACTGCAAGCGTGTTCACACAGGTGGACTTTAAAGAGTTCTCCCCCGAAAAAATTAGGGAAGGAGAGATAGAAATGATCACAAAATTATTGAACTCAGGGGAAAAAGACTTTGAAAAAATAGAGGAAATCCTAGAAATTGAATGGGAAAAAGATCACTATACGGTTATCAAACCGGGAAGAGGAAATAAAGCAGCAGGCGACTTGATAGTGGTTATAGAACCTGGACTTTTCGGTGAGGGGGAAAGGTTCCACGACCTGATAAAGAAAAACCGGAATTAGGAATATGTACTGAAGGTACATATAGGTCAGGACAAGTGGAGTACTTCCAACTTATACTATAACCACAATTACAAGGAAGGGCCAGGAGGAAGAGAATCGAGGAAGCCGTCAGACCATTTTTATGGTCCCTGTGGAAAAAGGGGAGACGGAAATGGAAGGGGACAAGAGACTACTGGCAATTCTGTCTACATTGAGGGAAGACATAGAAATTGTAGGGACCAAAGAGGCATCCATAAAAGTAGTGGGCGGCTACAGAGGTAGGAACCTCAGGAAGCTCCTTGAAGTCACCTTTAGAAGTATGGACCTCAACCTCGTGTTGGAGGATTGTGAACAGGAAGAAATTAGGGCGGGAACGCAGAAGGTTATCGTGAAAGGAGGTGAAAAATCTTATGCCAAGTTGCTGAAACAAATAAAGGGTAGCGTAGACATGAAGAAGGAGGGGATTATTGTCAAAAGCGCTAAAAAGACCAGGGGCGAAGATCTCATCCTTGAAGTAGCAGGGAAAGAACAGGCCGAGCGCCTGAAGAAGACTATTGTGGCACGTACGGAGGGAAACACGGTAGAAGACGTCCGGGGTTATCAAGTTCAGGTTGATATATTTGACATAGACGGAGATGTCACAAAGGAAGAAATTCTGGGGCAGGTCCGGAGATATATCGGCAGCAGGGGGCCTAATGATATCAAACTCGTCTCTATAAGGGAGAATAGAGACGGGAACACAAACGTCACGGTCGGACTGACGCGGATCGCGGCCAAGAAAGCATTAGAGGAAAAACACATACCCATCGGCTGGAACTTGTGCAAGATACGAGAGAGATTGCACATCCAGCGATGATCTAGATGCTTGCAGTTCGGGCATAGCAAAAACGAATGCAAGGGAGAAAACAGAGCAGACTGCTGCTAAAGATGTGGCAAAGGGGGTCATCAGGCAAGAGAATGTAGTAAATTTGAGGCTTTTTGCCTCAATTGTAAAGAAGCCGGGCACAAAGCCGACAGCTTACGATGCTCGGAGTACAGAAAACTAATATTGGAAAAATGGAAGGTCAAGAGAGACCCTATCAGAAGGGAGGAGGAAAGAGTGCGTGAAAGCACTTAGGACCAGGAATCAGACAGCGTACGGGTAAGTAAGTTAAAGATATAAGACCCATTTACTACGAAGTTTCTACAAATAAATGTAAGAAGGTCGAGGGCTGCTCACGATGTTGCAGAGGCACTTGCACGACGGGAAGATTATGACATGATCCTATTTCAGGAGCCAACGTAAAGTTGGTCTCTAGACAGGGGATCATTAAAGATAGGAAATCTGACGTGGTCGTGTACGTGGTAAATCGAGAAGCTGGCATTACCAGACAGTCCATTAAGAATGGTTATGTTAAGGTATATGTCGGAAACCTTCTTCTTCTTTAAGTGCCGTCTCCTTTAAGAAGGTTGGCTATCATCACGGCTATCTTCACCTTTGACACTGCTGCTCTAAACAGCTCAACAGAGTTACAATTGTACCACTGCCTCAAATTGTTTAGCCAGGATACACGTCGTCGGCCTATGCTTCTTCTGCCCAGTATCTTTCCCTGTATAATGATCTGCAGCAACTCATATCTCTCACCTCTCATGACATGACCCAGATACTGCAATTTTCTTATTTTAATTGTATTTAATATCTCCTTTTCCTTGTTCATTCTTTTTAAAACGTCGTTGTTCGTAACCTTATCGATCCAACTTATTTTTAAAATTCTTCTATAAGCCCACATCTCAAACGCTTCTATTCTGTTACTTATATCTTTTTAAGCGTCCAAGCCTCCATTCCATATAATAACACAGAAAATACATAACATCTAAGCATTCGTACTTTAAGTTGCAGACTCAGATCATTGCTGCAAAGTACTTTTCTCATAGTATTGAATGTTGATCGGGCTTTTCCTATACGTGATTTGATTTCCTGTGTGTAATCGTTGTTTTCGGTTATGATTGTTCCCAAGTATGTATATCTGTTCACCTTTTGAACGAGTTCGTCCCTAATCCATAACGTGTCCTGTTGTTGTGTCTTTGCGATGGTCATGAATTTCGTCTTTTTGATATTTAAAGTAAGTCCAGCCTCTTCGCTACTGTCTACAATCTTATTTATCAGAACCTGCAATTCTTCAACTGACTCTGCGATTACTAAAGTATCATCGGCGTATCTGATGTTATTTATAAGTTCTCCGTTGACTTTAATTCCACTTGATGTTTCCTTTAGTGCCTTCTGAACTACCTCTTCTGAATAGAGGTTAAAAAGCAGCGGAGACAATATGCATCCCTGCCTTACCCCTCGTTGTATTTCTATTTCTTCTGATAGTTCGTTGCCAACCTTTACAGATGCAACTTGATTAAAGTAAAGGTTTGATATTATTCTAATATCTTTCATATCCAGATTTTTATCTTGAAGTAGCTGTAGGAGGCGATTATGTCTGACTTTGTCAAATGCCTTATTGTAATCAAGGAAACAGACATAAAGAGGTTGGTTAACATCCATACATCTTTGGGCCAATACATTCAGGGCAAACAAGGCCTCTCTTGTACCCATTGCGTTTCTGAAGCCAAACTGCGTGTTACTAATATCTTGCTCCAGTTTTCTGAAAATTCTTTGATGTATAATTTTCAAGAATATCTTTAGAGTGTGGCTCATTAAGCTGATGGTTCGATGGTCACAGCATTCTCTAGCGTTAGCTTTTTTCGGTAGAGTCACGAACGTCGACTTAAGCCATTCTTTTGGAATGACGCCTGTATCATATATGGTGTTGTACAAGTCTTTGTCAAGAAACCTGGTAGTATATAATTGCTATGTTTCACCAAACATCCCGCTTCGAATATATGAAGAGTACATTGACTCGATTATGCAAGAGGCTAGGATGGAGACTGTACCGGTCGTCATAGCTGGTGACCTGAATGAGAAGGATCGTCCATGGAACCCACTAGTGCAAGATGGGTGAGAGAAATATCTATCAGAATGGATCCACGCAATGGAGCTTACCGTTTTAAATGACGGTAAGGTACCTACATTCGTGAGAGGTAATAGTGAATCCTTTCTGGACATCACACTGGCTTCAATCAAATTTCTAAACAGGGACTGTTTTGAAAGAAGAATCGCTTATATTACACAAGTATGTGAAATAGCTAGCAAAAGACAGAAACGTAAAAATGGGGATATCAATCTAAAGAGATGTTTAAATGAGGAGGTTTTTGTAGATGTTTTTGGCTTGATTGGTCCGGGATGTGTGGATGTGTGTGAGTTAATTAAGTGTATGAGTAATGCACAGGAGTTGGCTTGTGTAAGATCAAATGGGAGTTATCAAAGAAAACAACCATACTGGTGGAACAAGCAGCTTGAAAATCTGAGGACAAACTGCATGAGAGTAAGAAGGGAGTGTAAAAGGTCAAGAAGAGTACAAGCTGTGAATTTGGAAGAGAGAATAAATGAATTAAATCGAATGCAGAATGAATACAGGAATGAGATAAGAAGATCTAAGAAAGAAAGGTGGAGTAACCTGCTTCAGGATCTCGAAAAGGATATCTGGGGGCTACCGAATTGAAAGGGAAAAAGACACCCTACCCCCTGCCTGAGGAGGAGAAACTCCATTTAATACGGGAACTTTTTCCTCAGGTAGAGAATAGGCATGAAAGGGTTATTGGTTTCGTATATGCGGAACCTTTCGCTGAGTTGGAACTCGGCGAGGCTGTTGGACGTATAAAGATCCGAAAAGCACCTGGCATAGATGGAGTCAAGCCGGAGACATTAAGACTCGCCACACTAAAATATCCGCAGGTTTTTCTGAGATTGATAAACAAACTGCTTGAACAACAGCAGTTTCCAACAATGTTGAAAGAAGCTAAGGTTGTCCTTATACCGAAAAGTAAAGGTCAAGAGGAAGAGGTACGATTTCGGAAAATTTGTCGTCTTAGTTCGATAGCTAAATTGTACAAACAGCTTATAAAAGGCCGCCTTAGATCCACCATAGATGCGGTCACAGAAGTAACCTCTTTAGCTACGCAGGATACAAATAAATGGGTGACTATCATCCTGCTCGATGTCAAGAATGCCTTTAATACGGCATCATGGGAAAAAATCACATCCAGGCTGAGAGAATTGGGCGTTAGTGAATACCTGGTCAACGTAATTGACAGATACTTCACTGACAGATCCATAAGAGAAAAAGATACCAGCATCAATGTGTCGCAGGGTGTTCCACAGGGTTCAGTACTAGGTCTCATCCTGTGGAATGTCCTGTACGACGAGATGTTGAGGTTACAGATGCCAAGGGGCAGCACTCTTGTAGTTTATGCTGATGATCTCGCGTTGGTTGTGAAGGCGAGTCAGAAAACGGACCTGGCTAATGCGGCTAATACAGCCCTGAGTCGCATTAGTAGGTGGATCAGAGAGAATGATCTACAGCTAGCGCCTCAGAAAACTGAGGGGTTAGTTCTCAAAGGGACCCGGGAAAGATCCTCTCTTCGTTTTATAATGGAGGGTGTGGAGGTTGCACCGGTTAAATCAATTAAATATCTGGGAGTCTGGTTGTCGGAAGGTCTAACGTGCGGAATACACATCCAAAAGACAGTAGAGAAGGCAAACCGAAATCTGGAAGCGTTGATACGGTTGAGGCCAAACATTGGAGGCCCAGGAAGCACCAAAAGAAAGGAAGCTAAATGGAGTTTTCCAGTCGGTAGTAACCTACGCTGCCCCTTTGTGGTGTAGTGTACTTAACACTGCGAAATACGCTAAGCTGATGGAGACTTCGCAAGGGCGAATGCTCCTCAGGGTGTCTATAGTGCATATAGGATAGTCTCTAATGAGGCTCTATATGTCACTGGAGCGGTGATACCGATCGTTTTGTTGTTATAAAGAGCGAGCGAGGATGTATGCGAGGAGGATGGATGTAAATATACATGAGAATGAAAGAGAAAGAACGATAGTAGAGTGGCAGAGAATGGGCGACTGATAGTGGAAAGGCAAGGTGGATGAAGGAGCTTATTCCCGATCTGAGATCGTGGTAGGAATGTAAGTTCAGAAAACTAGACTACTTCCTGACGCAGTTTCTGATCGGACATGGTAGTTTTGGCACCTTCACAAATAGAATAGGCAAATCTGCCTCGGCAGACTGTACTGTTTGTGCGGTACCGGATGCTCCCACCCACATTTTTAACTGCCATAGATGGGCAAATGAGATGGGAGATTTCGAGAGGCGAATGGTTTTCGGGCTGGATGAAAGAAATGTTATGTTGAGAGGGGAGAAAGAATGGAGAGAAGTACACTGTCTGATTTCTGGGGTGATGAAGAAAAAGGAACAGGAGGACAGAAGAGGAAATTAAGTCAGGGATCTAAAAATTTATAGTTAATATTGTTTATTAGTTTATGGTCTAACGTCTAAACATTTTCTGATTTACGGTAATAGGTATGGTTATATATAAATTTTTAGTTGTTTATTGAGTGGCAAGACCACCTCTCTGGAACGGTGGTTAAGGTTTTAGCCGGAACACGGTTAATCCGGCACTACCCTGGTGTCTTCTGGCTTAGTATCCCACTCGGCCGAAAGATACCAGGGTGTCTTGTTCCGTGACGTAGAGATCCAAAAAAGATTTCCTCCACCGTTGCCTGTCAGAATTAAATGG